GTATTCCGCGAAAAAAAAAACCTGTTTCAAATAATTAAAACCCGAGAGATTCCTTCCGTTCGTTTATCTTTGTATTCGCGAAGTGTTTACGATCTTCGTTAGAATTAATTTCATTTTTTTTTTTTTTTTTTTTTTAACGTAACTCCTAAATGTTAAACAGGATATTGTCGCGCGCTGCCTCCTTCGATAGGTATTCACTACGAATACGTACCAATAGCTTACGGGACACCCTGTATAGCCGAGTACAGCGTACGTAACGGCGGAGCGCGCGGCCGTGTGCGATCTCGCGGAAACGTATGCGACCGTGTGTACGTATACGTGCGTATGTGTATGTGTGTGTGGTAGAGAGGTCTGGTAGCTGCTTGCTTGCTTGCTTGCTTGCTTGCTAGCTTGCTTGCTTGCTTGCTTGCTTGCTTGCTTGCCTGCTTGCTCGCTCGCTTGCCTGCTTGCCTGCTTGCCTGCCTGCTTGCCTGCCTGCCTGCCTGCCTGGCTCGGCTCTCGGGTGCGCTGCCCGACAGGACATTGAACCCAGCGCGACTCAACCTGGGGATCATCCGCGGGTACAAGCCGCTCCTCTCCCACTTCTCTCTCTTGCAAACTCTCCCGTCCGCCCTTCTTCCGCTGCCTCGTCCCGCGATATTTCGTTCGCCGTGCTCGACGGGGTACACGCAAGAGAGAGCCCCGCCCGCCCCCCTTTCCCTCCTCCTCGCGAGCGGAACATTCTACGGGGGCCGCCGTACCCACCTGCGACCCGGGCTTTTGCACCTCTCTTCTTCTTCTTTCCCCCGGTTCGGACTTGGACCGAACTGCTGCTGCTGCGGCTGCTCCTTTGCGCGTATCGCGTCGTAAAGTTTTTGCAGGTGAACAACACATGAGATATATAGATGATGTTCGCGCCTTTTTTTTTTTTCTTCTGCGTCGCGAATGATGACCGAGAGAAGTCGGAAAAGCCGCGCGACAAACGGGAAGTTCAATCTCGCAACATGTGTTCGGAGAAAAGAAAGAAAAAACTCGAGATGACGCAAGATCTTAATCTTTCAATAAATAATTCGAAAATAGATTTTTTTTTTACAAATTTTCATTTTGGAATATGTAAAATATGTAAACGCGCAAATACCTTTGTCTCCTCCTTCCCGTTTCCGGAAAGCTATGTGATGTGTAAAATTTCGAAAGAAAGTTTACAGCGCGACACGTGCTACGCGTTTTTTTTTTTTTTTTTAACAAAAATTCTCGTCAATTTTTTCTCACGACGATTCTCCGCACACTTTCTCACAATAAAGAAACTTTTTTCATTGACTACCGGGTTCGAGAGAATTCCACTTTGTTCTTGCTCGAATCGCGAATCGACACCGATAACACGTAATCCCGAAATGTAAAAGAGCGCGAGCTGAACGCAAAAGCAGGAAGAATCACGATGATACGTGTCGCAAATCATTAACATTAAATATTGATAGTGTTGACGTTTCCGAGCGATGACGTCCGTCGCGTTTGTTGAGAAAACCGAGCTATGGCGTTTTGCGCAATTGAAATAACAATTTTGAAAGCAAAAGACCTTCGGTATTCGGTTTGGAGAAGGACCTGCTGCTTCTTCTTCTTTCAAAATCGATGTCACGAGTGCGAAGGCCACAATCCGCGCCTATATAAACTCGAACTGTAAATCCAAGCGCGCCGGTGCCCTTGCGATGCTTCGCGACGAAGCCAAAAATATTTTTGCGCGACGCAAATAACAATGTATACACACAACGCACAATAATTTCGGATTCAATAATATACACCCATTCCATAAGTATTCAAACACCTGCTACGTTCGTGACGACAGTTGGATCTGATTTATTATATTTTCCGCCGCTTTCATTGTTATTTTTCCTTGTTCCCGAAAGGAAGCAATACGATTTTTTTTTCTTTTTTTTTTTTAACCGTACCTTCCTCTTGCAAAATAGATATATACATATATATTGACAAGAGAGGAAATCGCAATCGATTTGTTAATGTTTTTGTTTATGACGATGAAATCGCCGATAATGATGTCATCGATTATATCTTAATCGCGCCACATCAGAATTTACATATACAGGGTGTTTCAGAACTATGGGATCAAACTTCTAGGGGTTATTCAGTGCAACAGTAGAAAACATTTGAGTATAGAAACCCATGTCCGGAAAAGTGTCACTACCGCACTACGGCCCTAAGACGCGTTAAAATTTAGAAAGACGNATTCATCGTCTTTCTAAATTTTAACGCGTCTTAGGGCCGTAGTGCGGTAGTGACACTTTTCCGGACATGGGTCCCTATACTCAAATGTTTTCTACTGTTGCACTGAATAACCCCTAGAAGTTTGATCCCATAGTTCTGAAACACCCTGTATAATGTACATTCCAGTAAGGTAAATGTCTCAATGGCCGGACGCTTAAGAAGTTGGTATAATCGAAAACACATTTTTTTATAACTTCAGACTTACATACCTTATATTTATATGAAAATTAAAAGGCAGAATGTAAGTTTTTTTATAAAAAAGAATAAAAAGCAAGTTTATAATGGAAAAAAAAATGTAAAACTATTTGAAATAATATGTATTATGTATTATGGTGTTCGGACACGAATTTTCGCATGTCCCGGTGTTCGAATTTTTATGTCCCAGTGGCCGGTCACAATGCATGCGCTTAAAATTTTGCTTGATTAAAAGTATTAAATCAATAAATATAGACGATAAATATAATCTATGTTTATAATATAAATATAGATTATTTCTGACCAAAATATGATACCTCGATATTAATAATTTTGTTCTATTTTAGTTACCGTGAAAAAAATATTTTTCGGTTCTATAAAAATGTTTTAAAGTCTTTTTAAATAGTTTTTTTTTTATTATATCTTGAAATGTGTTATACTTTATAATTTTGATAATTTAAGCCGATGTCCGAACACTCGGTGGACGCGTCCGGCCGTTGGGACATTTACCTTAATCGTTTTCATAATACAAACAAACAAGACAGTTTAAGAAACTAAAACAAGCTAATTGAATATCTTTGAACCTGTCTTAAACATGGACGAGGAGCACGTTCTCGTATTGGAGTTGTTGTGCGAATCACAAAATTATTATTGTATCAATAAAGAACATTTATTTTTTCACACGGTTTTTAATTATTAAATTCACCTTAACACACCGTTAAAGCCGAGTTTGAACATCACGCGCCGGTCTTAGGGTCGGTTTATTAACTGCGTTTTACTACGTCACGTCACGATGAACCGTCCGATTGTTTCGCACGAGTTTTAAAATAATCTGCGACGCGAACGTCTTCGTAAAAAAACTCACTTTCGGACGTAACGTTACGTGACGTAATGTGTGTATCGGACCTGTGACGTGTGAATCCGACATTAAGGGGTTAACGAACGTGCAACGACGGACACCTCCCCGTGGCTCACCCTGCCCAGAGAGAAGGGACGATAAAGTCACCGTTTCGCGTTTCTCCCCTCGCGCGCGCGATTCTAACGGTTCCCTTCGGTGCGCGCACAGTTCACGCAAACGTGAACGTTCTCCGCGCCTATCTCCCGCACTGAAGCAAGATCGAAACGAGAGAAGTTCACGGAAAGAAACAAAAATATAAAGTCGGAGGTGGACGCGCTTAATTTTTCTCAATCTTTTTTTCTTTTTTTCTTCTTTGCTCGACTTCGTCGAGCGAATTCTTGGAATTCGTCGTCGTTGTTTTTCCGGCGAGACACAATCGAACGGTCGTCACAGAAGAGACTTGCAATTGGATCACACGATAGTGAAAGTGCACGCGGAAAGGAACAAAGAAAGGTGGAAAAGACCGAGCGGTCGGTCGCTACGGTGCCTTTAGGTGGATGAAAGTTATCGGAGAAAGCCAATTGGCACACCGTCGATCTCGTGCTCGCACTTGAGCTCTCTCGCTATGCACCGCTTCGTATACGGCGGGCTCGAAGCGCGCACGGAGAAAATAAGTGCACTCACCGCGCAGCGCAGCGCGCGCCGAGGCTTTTACGTAACTTCGCGGCGCGGCGGCGTTCCTCTTTCCGCGAGGCGACGACGACAACGACGACGGCGTCAGGGTCGGATCTATCGTTTCCAAGTTTTCTCTCGAACTAGAGAAAAGCTTGCGTAACGCGCATCGTTAGGAATAAAAAAAAATCGAAATGCATTTGCCGCTTCTTTAAAAAAAAAAATATAATTACGAATAATATGATGTATTACCACACAGAATTTGTCTGATTGTTAATTTTGTTTACACGCGTTTCATCAACGCGTTCAATACGATGCTACTGAGATAAAAAAAAAAAAACAAAGTCGCGTATTTTGCTTCACGTTTAGATCTGATTTATGTCACGAGAATAAAATATCGCCGATCATTGTGTGCAACTATAGTTGACGACGACGACGACGACGACGACGACGACGAGGTTTAAATGAGGTCCTTTCGTAGTCGCGTGAGGTCCAAGCGAGAGAGAAAAAAAATAAGAGCAACAACTAGGAAGAAACGACGATATCCACTATCGGTTCTCCGTTCCTCGCGCGTAAGGACGAACGATGATTTGTCGAGCGAGTCTCTCTCTCTCTTTCTCTCTCCTCGCGAGAGAGTCGCATAAATTCTTATTAGCGCGGTGTTACGACGGCTTGTAAAAATCCATGCGGTGCTGCTGCTGCTGCCGCCGCGCCGTAACCGATTCGAAGTGCTTTCGATACTCCGGACGTTACTTGTGTTGTACGAGAAAACTTATCTCTGGTATACGCGCGCGGTCTGTTATTTTTTTCATTTGCCACAGTTTATTTTTCGTCAGTTCGTATTGTTGTACTTGTTAGAAACTTTGACGCAAGTCACTTGATTATATTCGTCAGAATAATCGAATCGTCGAGATCAACGAGGTGAACTCGACACGTGCCTACTACTTATGTGTTTTTTTTTTCTAGATACGCATACTTCAAACACGACCTGAAACAAAACCTTAATTTCTTAATCGCGAATCGTTGATTATTTGCTTTGCAGAACCAACGTCCGGTAGAGGATACGAACAATCGAGGAATGTGATCTCGAGGATGCAGAAGATCGTCGGTCCGTTAGGAATGCTCTACGGATGCATGGAAAACAAAATCCGAGTCAGAGTACGTGCATCCCGTGATTATTTTTTCTAAACCGCGATTTAATTGATTTCGAAATTTTTTTACTTTCAATTAAATTTATTTTTGTCGAAACTTTCGACGCGTTTCATTCGTCTCTCGTGAAAATTTTCAAGTTAAGGCACTTGTCGCGCATTATTCTCTCTCCCTTCTTTTTTTTTGAGATAAGTGTTTTCGCGAGAAATTCGCCTCAAAACGTATATACACGTATATTTTTGTTACACTTGTAAAACGGCATTTCTCTCGGTTTTCTAGAATCTGACGTTTTCTCGATTTATTTTTGCCACGACTTTATTAGAAAAAAAAAAAAAAAAATATCTTTCTTCTAATCCTCTTTGCCTTCTCTATCGACGAAAAGGCATCCTAAAAGCTCCGACCTCGCTTCCTCGTCATTTTTCCTACGTCCCTTCGAACCCTTCTCCTTTCTTGCCTCCTCCCAGGGTCATTGTGCGTGCACGCATACACGGTTGACACACTTTCTCGCATCTCGAGTGCCACATACACAAATCTCCCTCGAAGGGGGTGTTCGAAGGGCGTACAAGATCCACCCTTCGCCTAAGAACCCGCGACTGAGGGAGGAAGGAAAAGCCGCTCGGGTCAACACACGTAACCTAGCAACCGAACGGGGCGCCACTTCTACTTACGTTCCTGACGTACTATCGTTATGCGACAAACGATTCCGACACGAGATGAGATCGCGCTTCGAGAGGATCATATTGCAGCCCCTAAAAACTCGCTCCCTTAAAAACTGTCCTCTTCTGTTCCGAATTACGCAACACACAAACTCGCGAAGAAAAAAATTACGGTCAGCGATTCTCAAAAAAAAAATTGTGATAAAAAAAAATTAAGATTGTTCTCTCTAGAATACAAAATTTTATGCAGAATGTAAATGTTATATATGTAAATAATAACGCACGTGATTGTGACGTAGAATCCACTCGGCGCTAAATAACATCTCGTTCGCAATTACAATAAAGAAACTCTCCTCAAGCGCTTTTGAAACTCGCTTGAAAAACCGTAAATGATCGTCGTGATCGCGTGATGAACATACTGATAAGTCATCATCATACTTATCTAATCGCGCCCAATGATTTCTCGCGCGGCTCTGATGTACGGCACCCAATACCTAATCACCGCTTTGCGCTAAGGCCAACTAATAATAGGACAACGAGACCGACGTAATGGAAAATAAAAGTCGAATTGACGTTAATTAGGCGGCTTCCTGCGGAAGTGCCATTGCGAAGTCGGATCATCATCAACGAGGCAAATGGAGTTTCTGATTAATCTCCTTCCGCGACTGAAACCGAACTTTAAATTAATTAATGTTAACTTTCATATTCGCCTGTTTCTTTCGCGTCGCGCCGCGATCGACGGTATATAAAAGAAGATTCTAATCTTCCGCGGCCTTCGAACGCGGAAAGAAAATTTTATCTCAAACCGATCGATCACTCTCTCGACCTTCGGCTTGTCTCAAATTGCTGAGACAAGCACGTGTTTTTTTTTTTTTTTTTTTTTTTCTTTCCTCGACCGGCAATATATTCCAATCATTTCCATATAGAAGCATTTCCATAATTTCATCTCTCTCTTTTTCACGCGTCACGAAAATATCAAACGTCGCGACTCTGTGTGTGTGTTGTGCTCGCGCGAACTCGGTAAATAAAAAACAAATCTATTATCACGGAGGATCAAAATTATATTTGTGCGATTTCACGCGCAAGCGCTTTTCAGATTTTCCGGTCTGATTGAATCCTGTGTGTGTTATCGTCTAACGTTTTTCTACCGAAACTCGCTCTCGATAATCTCATTGCCGCAACCTCTCGATCGCGACGAGATCCTTGGGATTTCTTTCCGCGGTCAAGATAATTCTCCGACAGACAAATCGCGCGAGATCGATACGATTGAAAAATTCACAACAACAAGTAAATACAAAATATTGCGCACGGAAAAAAATGTTTCTCGTTTATCTATCGACCAGCTTATACGTTTGTGCAATAAAATTCACTCGCGAATATTTTTTAGGAAAAGAAGAGGAAGAAATTATTTGTAAAAATAAAAAAACATGCGGAAGAAGGTTACGCTTTCTTTCTCTCTCTCTCTCTCGGAACAAGGATTAGATTCCTCCGGTCTTGAGCTCTCCCAGAATCGATTCCGACTAATTTGCAGACGTCGTTGACGCTCAATGACTCGCAGTGACACACACGGATACACGGAGCCTCGCAATTAGTTTTCATTGCGACAAAGCCGCCCGCACGTATGTCTCTGCGTGAAAAGACATTGAAGGGGGCCTTGCCTTGTCGGCTTGCACTTCCGCGTATCAGGCCGCTATCTTGTCTCTCGCGGCCGTATCTATTGCGACAAACAACGCGTATTCTCTCTCCCTCTCTCTCTCTCTCTCTCGCGTTCACCCTCCCGAGGAGATGCAATGTGTCATCCGGTGTAATTGTCGTTCCTAAAGAAAAGCGCTTTTATATCTCGCCGGAAAATCCTTTGTCATTTCAATCCTTATCAGTGTGTGCATAAGAGTAACGTAAATTTACTTTTATATGTTTACGTGTGATGACGAGAGAAATCTTACTCTCTTATTATTAATTTGCGCGCAATATTTGCATACGAATTTCCGCGATAAAGACGAAACGACGATAAAGAAAAAAATCAAATTACGATTCACGCGACATATTTCGTTCGCGTAAATTCTAATAAAAACGACGACTTTATCGCGCGAGTTAATGCTTTGCTTTTATTGTTTTTTTTTTTTTTTTTCTGTTAACAAGATGTAAGTAACTTGAGATAATGGCGAACTCGAGATAACGACAAATTCAAAGACTTGTGTATTTTTATAATCGACACGACGATTCGTCGCTACTTTTATTTCGATTTGAAATCTCGTCTGATAAGTAATCGAAGAGGGAGCACGCCGCGAATCATCAAACGCGAATCACTTTGCTCGATAGAGAAGTGAATCGCGCTTTTAATATGTTTAAGACGAGAGAGGCTCGGTCGCTATCTCTGAATGGGAATAATCGGACTAATCTCTGTTGTCGAAGGTCTACACCAGGAACGAGCGAGGTATAAGAGGACACGTGGAGGCATACGTGGCCGCTTTCGACAAACACTGGAACCTCGCGCTCGAGGATTGCTTCGAAGTCTGGTCTCGCAAAATCAAGAGGAAAGCGCCGGCTCTTGGTACGCGAAATCATTCCCACTTGTCATTAGCGGATTTAAGTACCTGCGGGATATACGCACGCAAGTATACGTACCTCTATTAAAAAAAAAAAAAAAAAAAAAGAAAACTACTTTAGAATTCACACACAGCGGTGTGTTCCCTCCTCGTCATTAATTACAACTTTTTGTAACACGCCGCAATAATAAATCCGTCTCAGAGCGAATGTAGATACGCATGAAGTGTCGTGTAAACGCATTAATCACGAACCGTCGGATTCGAAAGATGAAGTGAAGTCGGCCGATCGATATTATTCTCGCCTCTCTTCGTGAGTGAGATTTTGACGCATCTCGCGAGCAAATATGCGTCACAATCGGATCGCGAGGTTGGTCGAATAATTGGACGATGAAAAAATGAGTACGAGTCTATATATAATATAATATAATATATATATATATATATATATATATATTATATTATAAAATTAGATACACGTTTATCAGATATATATATATATATCTAATTTTCGAATAATTATGTTACTTTGTTTCATTAAATAAGAGAATATTGTTGTCAGAAAATATAAGTTTGCAATATTACACCCTTATTTTTGAAAACCAGAACGACAAAGAGACTGTTTAAAAAAAAAACAGACGTGTCCGAATATTGACGCTATTTTGACCTTTGACATTTTTGCGACGCAGTCAACACGACAATACGGAGCGCGTGGGACGACGCGGTCGTAAAGAAAAATTTATACGCGTTTTGCAATGGAGATCCGATGTCTCTTGGGAAATTCTGTCTAAAATATTTACGTAATCGCCGCGCCTTCTGGAAAGTCTGAATAAAAGCGCGCTAAATTCTCACGCGTGCGCTTTCTCTGTCTAACGGGAAACGCGAAATTTTAAGTCGCAGCGACCGAAAATTGCGTACTTGACTTTAATCCGATTGATATTACGGCACGTCTATCTATTAGTATCTCCCTGTGTTTGATTGTGATTAACTTGCGAAGCTTGTATGCATTTTAACTTTTTCTTTTTTCCTTCCCCCTCCCCTAATTATCTGATTTTTCTCGTGACAAAAATAGTCGCAGAAGAAAAAAAACCACGGAGTGTCTTTCCGTAAGTCGATCAACAACTTTTTCCGCGTGCGCGGTAGATGTTTGAATAATAAATAGAATCCGATGTCATTGGTCGTCGATCGATCAAGTCGTGTTTTTATCTACACGTACGATTCGATCGACGAATAAATTTTGATAATAATTTTACTTTAATTTTGATTTCATATTTTTCTACAGCTGTGCTTTTTAATATTGAAAAAAAAAAAAAAAAAAAAACAAGTTTGCGCGGACTTGTACATTATTTTTTGTTTTTTATTTTATTGCATAATATTATGCGTACTGTGTATATTATTCTTTTGCAATATCTCTCGGCCGGACGAGAAGAAAAACATCATATATATATATATATATATATATGTATACATCGAAGCAAACCTGATTCCATTTTAATCCGTGCTATCTCCATTCCGCACACAGATCGATAGGGTTTAATGAACTCACCTCGAGTATATACGCGATCCATACGTCTTTATTTACACCGTACCGGTAAAAGGGCGGCAGCTAAGTGGAGAGAGCAAAGAGAAAAGGGTCGTCCGTATTGCGCGCGCGAAAGGAGGATAATACATCCCACTAAGGTCGACCGTCAGGAGCAAGGACCGACCTTGACTAACGTGTATAGTGGTTGCCGCGTTCGATACACGTTCGAGTCCCATGTGGCTCCTCTCCGCTTCCTTGCTTGTTTCTTTCCTCCTACCTCTTTCTCCGGGGCCCTCTGTTTCCCTCCCGCCTTGCGCTCGATTTTATCTGTTTCCCTCTCTCTCTCTCTCTCTCTCTCTTTTACGCAGCGATTCTCGCACCCAACATTTTCCCTACGCTCCCTAACGATTTTTCTCTCCCATCCATTTCCTTCGCCACGTGCCTTCCAACATTTGCATCTTTCTTTTCTTCTCTCTCTCTCTATTTCTCCCTCTCTCTTGTCTTTTCATTCATCCGAATGTCTCGAACACACGACCGAAAGATACAACGATCTCACGTTAAGAATCTCGTAGAAACCTTTTTTTTTTTCTTTCGTAAATATTTTTGTCCTTAAAGCGATACATGTGGATCATTCCCATCGAGGTCAGATGTAATATTCAGGTGTAACGTTACATCTTTTTTTTTTTTTTTTTTTTTTTTATGAAAGATTTTCTCTTGAATATTGAAGAATAATTTTTATGATGAATAAAGACAAATTATTATACACGACCATCCTGTAATTTTATGCTCGTATTGGCCTTTGGTTTAAATATTTTTGACTATTTCACGAGCGATTGATTGAATAAGTTTTATTCTTTACTTAACAATTTACCCTTTCCAGAAGAAATTAACCGTGGATGTTGCGCACGTGGCACGGAATTTTTTTTTTCTTCCTTCCTCTTCTACTCTCAGTCATTGTTTATAGCGGTCTAAAATGCCACTTCGTAGGCGGGCGCTTCTTTTTTTTCTCTCTTTCTCTCTTTCTTTTTCTCTTTCGGCGCGTCGAGTTCAGGGTTAGTTGGCCTACTGACGTACTTCGGGATGTATCATGAGGGGTCGCGAGGTCGTTGATACAAGGCTTGGAAGGGGAAGGGCAGAGGAACCACCGACCTTGAAGAACGGCTCGCGAGATCGATGCCGACTCGTCTACTGTTACGTGCCGCGATCCCTCGCCGCTCAAGTTAGGATTTTATCTACTTCTTTTGTTGACACATGTGACCCGCCGAAATCCTACGCTAATAAACACAGCCCGATAAACTTCCTCTCCTTACGAACTCTCTCCCTAAATTCCTTCGTCGTCCGTTGCATCAACCTATGACTCATTAAAAGATAAACGTTACGCCCTACGAACGAAGGTCTAGCTCGCACGTTTTTAGTTAAGACAAGGCAGTTCTCGTTCGCAGCTCAGACGAGCAACACCTCTCACATATTAACCAATAAAGCACCTCACAGAAAGTATCCTGCATATTTCTTTTATCTTATTACGTGGCTATCCGGCACGTAACACTACACGTGTCCTGTTCGTTCGTGCCTGCCTCCCTTCTCGCTCCCTTCGCGCGTCCTTCCCTTCCCTCGTGTGGCCCTGTCGTTTATACTCCCGCTCATCTCCCCACGCGACCCTGGCGCGCTTCTACGTGCGGACGCGACACGTGCTGACACATAACAACAACAGATTTTTCTCTGTGACCTCGTGCGTTTTCTTTTTTTTCCGAGATTCCGTTCGCACACGATAACACGCATCCTCAAGTGATTCAACATTCGGCGGTATCTCTCTCAAGTTCCTGTTTTCACAAACGAATAATCTTCGGAATACAAAAATTAAAAACAAACAATTTAACACATCAACTTTTTTCGAATGTGAGTCAATTTTATCTTCCGAATTAAAAGAATACAACCTATGTATCCACTTGTCTTATTTTTATTGCTCATTACACATTTTACTGATGTTTTTACCGATTGAAAAAAAAAAAAAAAAAATGACAATCACGTGGCAATCGAGCAGAGTTATTTACATTTGAATGTCTATTCGTACGTAAAAAGTTTTAAGTGCATGCGCACATACACGTTCCGTTAGTTAAACAATAGCGAGAGCGTATGTCTCGGGAAGGGAAGAATGCAAAGACTTTCTGACATTGCAATTTCGATACAGGTTATACTGATGCAATCGAAGTAACGACAACAAAACAAAACGTCCCTAGGATAATGGTGAGGAAGATCGAGAGAAAGACTGAGACCTTGGAGAGACACGTGCCGCAAATGCTACTGAGGGGAGAACAGATCGCTATAATCGTCAAAATCAATTGACGCTCTGTCTTGATTATTCTCAAGAACGGTTTTTTATGCGGTTACGTTTAAATTCCGCAGATTCAAAGCGATGTTTTTTTTTCCCCACCTCTCGCTATTATTAAACAATATTTTTTAAGTGTATCAATATATACAGGAATTTATCATTGTTACATACGTTTTTTTTTCTCTTCTCGTTGACGTATTCTGTATGTATTTTTTAAATAAAAATATCGTAGCATTTTTTCACACAAACACGAGTAATACAAATCGCCTACCCTCAAATCTCTCCCTTCTTTTCCCGTGCAATGCCCTTCTGTTGTAATTACGTTTCAGCGATGTGGTCGAAAAATAGACGAATATATAAAACGCCGCGTTACGTTGGCGTCAAAGCACATCCCGCGCCCCTGAAATTATACGGGCAATCGAAACTCCCGGAGGTCATCGAGACTTTCTCGCGCAACGACAAATGCAAGGACTTCTCCGGGCGATAAAACAAGAAACAAAAAACAAAAAAAACAACAGAAGTAAAAATACGCGTCGGAGATAAAAGGGATCAATCTACATTGCAGACGCAGTCGTGGCCTTCGAATCGCGTGTACGTTACGAGCGATTACACTGCAAATCCATGTGTGTTACTTTAACACATTTTTTCTGTGTAATTGTAAGATTACACGCTTATCTGTGTTATTTAAACACACATAAATGTGTAATATGATAATTTTATGCAGATCGCATGTGTGTTAAAATGCGTAAACATCTAAAATGTGTAATAAA